CTTTATTTTGAATATTTATAAATTTTATATGTCATTATATCTTTGTGTGTATTTTGCATATTATAATTTTACACATTTTTATAATTTTACGTATTTCGTATATTACAAATTGTATATTTATCCTATGTATTTTTGTATATATCATATATTCTATATTGCACATTTGGTTCAAGTTTCTCGTACAAACGCACGAAAATCCGCCGACTACTTTCAATATTTGACAACAGTAATAAATCTCTTTCCACGAAGTTCAGATATCATTTCTCCAAACGAAGTCAGAATTTGCATGAATATCCGCATTTAGCGATAACGTTGCTACTTACTCCATAAGTACTTTTGCGCCTCGCGCTGTGAGTATGTCATCATGTCCACGTGTATCACCATGTACTCGCCGTTGTCCAGCAGCCGTTGATTCTGCATCGAGTTCATCATATCTATCAGCGACATCGCCGTCCCCAGGAATATGTAAACTGTCGACAGATTTACACCTTCCGTTAGACGAGCTGCCGCCTTCGATGGAACGGTCCATCGACGACGAGCGACCGATTTCCAGAACTCAACTGACTTTCACGCTTTATTTTCCTGCCGCAGGGGAAATAAAGGCTGCTCCGTTTGCCGTGCAATTATCAGTGAGATCATAGAATAGATCAATCACACCATGCGCTAGTTTCCACGCAGGAAATAGACGAAAATACATTCGCGAGAAGCAAGTGATCGAAAAACACTGGACAAAAGAAATCGAATGAAATTTCTTCTTTCTATCAATCCTGTTAATTAGAATTTCTTATTGACTTCCGTTAGATCTTTCATTTCATTATGATCTACTAAATCAACTATCGTTATCGGATTTTTCAAACTATTTCTTAAAACGTGGTCTTTTATTTTTTTTGCTATTTATTGCAAAGTGTGATTTCTTCGTTTCTCTTTTTCGTCCTCCATTACTCGAAGTTGAAATGCTTAGTTAATATTATTAAAATATTTTTCAAGTATTTCTATAATTTCTATAATTGAAACAATCTTTGTAATCACGATTTTACAATTTTCACCAAGAAGAGAATGTGGAAGTTTTCTCTGTTGTGTAAATTTCGAAACAAGCATAGCATTTGTCCTAAGACGAATTTGAAGATGCACAATTAGAAATCTGGTGGTGGAATTCTTCGATCACTTTAATTTATCAAGGACGAACGTTGCGTTAATGCAACAGTTTATTTGTAATCCTTCCCAATCGATTTATATCATTAAATACGATACTTTCCACAAATTAGCTTAATAAACTTTTAACTTTTTGTGTTTCGTATCCGGATTCTATAATATCACGAACTGTGTTATGTATTGTTGCTTGAACCTTATTGAGAACGGGTTGAATTGAACAATCATCAAGCCGTATACTGTAACGCGCTTATAAATTCTCCGCGTTTATAAACTATTCCACTTCCAAAGAAGACGTGGAAACGAAACGTGTGAGAGAAAAATCCTCTCAACTTTCCCGACGTCTTCTGGTCAACTCGCGCTACTGGACTTCGTCCGAACGTGTTAAAGATCAATTTGTATTCTTTCGTTGGCGGGGTCAATTCCAGTATCTGGGACGTTAAAATCTCGCACGAACCGGCACGATTCAACAACCGATGAAGTCGTTCTACGGAACGGCTCTCTATTTCGAACCGAGAAGAGGCGAGAGAGAGACTCGCGTGTTACAAGCCGTTAAAACCGTTTCGAAAAACGAAGACCACGGCGGCTCGAAGACAAACAGAAACGGAAACGAGTAATAAGAGGCCCTCGAAAGCTAATAAACGAACAGAGAAAAGGGATGCAGACGTCGTTTCGATCGTACTCTCAGAAATAAATCGTTCAGAAGCGATATTGATCAACTCTGTAAATTGAAAGACGACGGTGCTATAATATTGCATTTTTTTTTTTTTCAACTTATCTTAAAATTTACTATTAGTTATATTACTATATTATATTTTCAAATTTACTTCACAATCTACTATTATTTATGTCATTTTCTTTTTACGAACAAAAAAATGAGATTGAATGTCAATCCTTCACTTACGTGTGCAATGAAATCAGGAAATTAATAAAAAGTACGTTAATCAACTGCATATATAAATTGAAATGCACAGAAAAACCACGATATTCTAAACAGTTTTTTTTTAAAAAAATTTATCTTAGAATCTATCATTGCTTGTATCATTTTCTTTCACTCACGGAAGTACGTCATTTGTTTTTCGAAAATTGAATATTAATTTCACGCTGAT